CTCTACATGCAGAGCAGACACTCAGTGAACACTGGAGGAAGGAAGGCAAGGAGAAAGGGTCTGGACCCAGGCCCACCCAGACCTACTGTCTCTCCCCTGATCAGCCTAACAAAATCTCCCTGGGGTCAGTTCCCATCCTGCCCCATCTCTTCTCATTCCATTTGTCCCTCTAAACTCAAGTAGTAGCCACATCATACACATGGGCAGCCCTCATCTTCCACGGCTTCACACTTCCATGGTGACTTCAGATGGATGTGCCTTCGGATGCTACTTCTGCTCTACCAAACAAACAGGTGGGATGGAGAACAGCCCTACCATCTCTGTGGGCACCTATTCACGAGTGATATGAACACTCCAACAGCTCCACACTAGGCCTGGGATCAATGCCTATATCTAATAGGTGGTGACAATTTGGAGCATTCACACCCTTCAGTAAGACATGGTGAGAGATGGGGCCTCAGCTCTATGAATGGGCCATGGCCAGATTCCATCTGCCTCCTTAGGAAAGACAGACACATGAATTCTAGAGAAGAGAAATCAATCAGAATAGGATTTAACTGTAAATTCCCATCAACTTGAGAGATGTGGACTTATAGTTAGAAACTCTTTTCTCCTCTGACCTGGAATGGCTCAGGCCTCCCATCCTGCTGATGAAATAATCTTTCTAGGCCTAGAAACCTACAAGTTAAGGTCAGACACACAGTACAGGACAGGAAAGCATTTTTGTGGAGTCCACAGAATTCTAGTCCAGAGCTTCTATGAGCAAACTGAGCCTAGAGCTCCAAAAAGGGCCCCTTTCTCCAGAGGCAGGAAACCACATTCATGCATCAGTCTATATAGCAACAACTTAGAGAAACTTCTCCACTTCTCCACTGCTATTCTGACTGGGGGTGTGGCAACATGGGGACAACAGGGGTTAAGAGCCACAGTGCAACAGGATGTCTGTGAGATGAAAGGCTGAGCGAGTCCTGAGTCCTTCTTCCCCTGTCCCAGAGCCCTGGGCATAGCTGCAGGTACCCCAAAACACCACACACTTCCTGACAGAGGTTCTACTTGACTCTAAGACTTCCTACACTCATGCCAAGCAGAGCAGGCAGCTGCTCCTGGGCCAGACTTACCTGGACACTTAAGAGAAAGTTGGTTAATAACTGCAACTCATGCTGTGACTGCAAGTTGATGGTGGCCAGCACTGTGAACGGCAAGCAGAAAAGAGAAAGGATTGTCTTAAAGCCAGGGAGACATTCTGAATTAACCATGACCTTTCCCAATTCATCAGCAAAATAAATTAACTAATCTTGACATTGTTTCCCACCTCCAATTAGAGTTAAGTTCCTGTGATGTCAGGAGATTTATCTTATTCATCTTGGAAACTCTACCACTCAGCACAGAGCTTACAGGGCAGTCACTCACGAGGCATCTGTTCTTGATTAATGTAATTTTTACAATGAGAGTGTGCATTTCTGTTAGTTATTCTTTTGGAGGAGCCGAGAGTCTGATGTTTATTTTGCACCTCAAGTATCTAGTGCAAGGTGATGATCTAAATGAAAACTCTTTTATTCCTTAGATGAGGACTAATTTTGTATTCCATTCCATAATGTGTCCATTCTATAATTTAAAATTATATTTTAAATGGCACCAGTGAGGGGTGCTTGGGTGACTTCGTTGGTTAAGCATCCAACTCTTGATTTTGGCTCAGGTCATGATCTCATGGTTCACGTGTTCGAGCCCTGCATCGGGCTCTGCACTGACAGCTCAGAGCCTGCTTGGCATTCTCTCTACAAACAAATAAACATTTAAAAATAATAATAAATGGCACCAGTGAAAGGTATGCTGGAGAAAGATGTGCTACATTTGGCTTGTGGCCATGGACCCTTTGGCCTACCCCAGCTGCAGAACTTGGCTCTGAGGCTCCTTGCCTGCCTGTTGTCCACCTGGACAGTAGGACTCAGAGGCACTGGGCTTGGTCTTAGCTCCAGTGGGTCTGGGAATACATGACAGAGACTGGGCCAGCCTGCCAAGCCGGCCACCCTGACACTGTCCTGTTGGACATAAGCCACTGATTACCAGTGATTAAAAATAAACAATAGCTGAGGCTCTAAGAGATTAAAACATTTGCTTCAAGGTCACACAATTGGTGAGCAGCAGACTAGGGTACAATCCCAGGCCCATCTGACACTGACCCATTGTCCTTGGATGTCACCATACTCCAGCAATCTACTGGATAAGACTCTATATCGAGACCCCTCGTCACATAAAGGAGAAACCTTGAAGACAAGAAGCCCGTCTGAAACTGAGCAGGCAAAAATCTCAGAAGTGAACAGGATTAGCATGACTAACTGAACATAACAACTATTGCTAGCCTTCCTCACACTCCACTAAAATAAAAATGAAGGAATGCAAAAGTAGAAGTTTGTAAAAAACAAGACCTGAAGAGAAGACAAAGCAGAGAGGAAGTTTCAAGAAAATCTCAGAAGACTGCAAAGGGCAGTGGGTCAGTAAATGGCCTAGGAGAGTGGAAGAAGTTTCGACCACTCCCCACTTCCAGCCTAAGGACTTACCTGACGTCCCAGACACCATGCAGCCGGAGGACATCTCTGTCCCCTGCCTTACACACTCCTCAAGCCTCTTCCCCAGCTGCTTCCCCACTGGTGCCCAACCCCAGGGGACCACACTCTCCGGAAAAGCTGAGCCCGAGTGTCTCCAGGCTTGGAGGGATCTGTGCAGCAGAGTGTGGAGAGGTTTGCAGTGGGGCATAAGGGCCATCTCAGTCAGGGGATTCCTGCCCATTCCTCCTGCCTGACTCCAGCAACAGATCAAAGGATTCTTCTCTGGAAACACTTAAAAGCGCTAAAGAGATTATCTCCAAACACTGACATTTAAAGGCTTCCATCCTTTAAATAGCACACCCCGGCCCAACCCCTGCCCCAGCCTCTCCTGGCACTCATTGCCATGTGGCTGTTCAGTGCCTCCTCCTTCAACTGCTCAGACAAGAGCCAAACAATTGAGAAAAATCCCCTCGTGGAAGATTGAGCAGAACTGTTAAGTATTAAAAAAAAAAAAAAAAAAAAAAAAAAAGTAGCACATTCTCAAAGCAAGGTAAGAAAGATACTGTCCATTTAAAAAGTATGTCCTTGGGGCATCTGAGTGGCTTGGTTGAGCAACCCACTTTGGCTCAGGTCATGATCTCACAGTTTGTGAGTTCGACCCCCGCGTCAGGCTCTGTGCTCACAGCTCAGAGCCTGGAGCCTACTTCAGATTCTGTGTCTCCCCCTCTCTCTACCCCTCCCCTGCTCATGCTCTGTGTCTCTCTGTCTCTCAATAATAAATAAACGTTAAAAAAAAAAAAGTATGCCCTGAGAAAAGAAATATATTCAAGAAAATAAAATCCAGGAAATAAGAGAAAGATTACAGGACAGAAATTGAGGAAGTCATCCAGAATATGGAACTAAAGGGCAGAGATCAATCAAAAAGACAAGCAACTTAGATAATCGATATAAAAGCCCAATCTACAAATAACAGGAGTGACCAAAAGATCAGAAAAAAGAGGGAAAACATATCAAAAAAAAAAAAAAAAAAGAAAGAAAGAAAGCACTGACTAGATGTCCCACTGACAACAACCACAACTGTTTCAATTCAAATGACTCACAAAAGTGCCACAAAAGGAAAAGAATCTCACACCAAAGAACATCATTGTGAAATACCAGAATACCAAGGATAAAGGAAAATCCTGTAATTTTGTAGAAATGGGAAGGAAAAAATATACACAGAGAACATATAAAAGAAGGATCAGGAAACAGAATGTGCCTGTACCTCATCAGTGACAGCGGGCGCTAGAAAATCAGGGAACAGTGCCTTCACAGTTCCAGAGAGAACCAGAGGTCAGCCTCAGGTAGAGCTCCATCAGGTCAGGGGCAGTGGGGTCTCAGACGCATCGGACTTGACACAGAATCTGATATATACAGATGTTTGAAACACAGTGTGACAGAAATTTGGAAGATCTTTGGTAAAGGTTTGTTTAAAAGAGAAGGGGGGGGACACCTAAAACTAATGTAATATTGTGTGTCAACTATGTGTGTGTCAACTTAAATTAAAAAAAAAAAAAAAACAAAAAAAGAGAAAGGGGGGGGGGAGATTTAAAAAATTGAAAGGAAAAGAGAATAAACAGGATAATTACACCGAAAGTGAAAACCAAGCAACCGAAAGTCAGCCAGTTCACAAATACTGCCCAGAATATGGCTCGCACCGTAGCGGGTGGGAAGGGCATTTCCACGTGGTAATGCAGGCACCAAGAAACCAACCAGAATTATGACGTAGCCACACCGCCAGGAACGCTGCGGACCCAGGTCTCGTACGGGGAGTGGAGGAGGAAGCCGCACTTCTGTGGCTTTATTTTTACACCTTGTGAATGTCTTACTTTAATTACATTTTTAACTAACTGAAAAAAGTCTTTCTGGGCAGCAAGCACGGCTCTGGAGGTCAGGGAGTTAGAAGACACCAGGAGGGGCTTGGCGGGGGCGGAGCCGGGGTTGGGGCGGGAAGGGCACGCCGAGGGCGGGGCCGGAGGGTGGGACCGGGAGGGGCACGGCGGGGGCGGAGCCAGGGTGAGGCAGAGAAGGGCACCGCGGGGGCGGCGCCCGAGTTGGCAGGGAGAGCAAGGAGGGGCCGCAGCGGGGCGTGGGGAGGAGCATGGAGGGGGCATAGCCTGGAGAAGGGGCCTGGCGGGCGGGCGAGGGGAGGAGCGCGCCGTAGAGAGGGTATGGTGTCCAGCAACCTGCCTGGGAGACTCCCTAATGCACCGGAGGCCTTGCTCAGCACACTGCCGACACGCTAAAAATGTACACCAGCCTTCAAAGGGCCTTGCCTTCCCAGCACTGGCCACAGCTCCTCCTAGGCCCCACCGAGTGGCACGGGCCCGCGGAGGCCTTGGAAGTAGTCACAGGAGACAGTGCCACCGCGTGGAAATGGCGGGAATCGCTGCTGGTCCTTGAGGAACTCAATAGTCTAGGGAAAGGGCCTTCTGTTCATTCATCCAGCAGTCACGCCCTGGGGGCCCCCTGCTGGCCGGCGCTGGCCTAGGGCTGCAAAGATGAAAGTCCCTATCTGTTCAGTCTAGTGGAGGGGAGGGCGACGAAGAAGGAACTGGAAAGGGACATGCACTGCAGCAGGGGCAAGCCGATTGTGGGAGCCCGCAGGAAGCACCAGGCAGCTCATTAGAGGCCCTTCAACCACCATCATCTATGCAGAGCATGAACCGAACCGTGTCCAGGCACAGAAGTACAGCCTAACAAGACGGAATTTAGCACTGCAGTGAGACAGGTAAATAAAACAAACTACCCAGAATGTTAGAAGGCCAAATAAAGCAGGCCCAAAGAGCCGGGGGAGCTCTAGGAGGAGCTTGGGTGTTTGGAGGAAACCTCACTTGGAGGTGATCTCAGAGAAAAACGGGAGGAAATGGAATAGCTATGCAGGTATCTGCATGAAGGCTGGAGGTGTCCAGTATGTTCCAAGAACAGGTAGGAGGCCAGGAGGGTGGAGCTGGAGACACCTGGCCAGATCACAGAGGTCACAGGTCAAAGGATGCCCCTGGAGGTTTTTCTCATAGCTTGTGCTTCACTGTCAGCAAGGCAGAATGTACCTGAAGTTCAGGTGAGGCATGAGGTGATCCAAATGACATTTTCAAATACTATGTTCAGAAAAAGTTGTGCAGGAGTCAACAGTAAAAAGGAGCATTAGTTCAGTGCTGTGGCAATAATGCATATGAGAACAGTGGTAACAGTTCAGATGCTAAAACTTGAATCTGGATAAATTTGAAGATAAAGATAAAAAGAATTTGCTGATGGCTGTATGTCAGGCACACAGAAGGAGAGGTCTGAGAGTGCCTACAAAGTTTAGGGCCAGGGCAACTAGGGGAAATGGAGATGCAATTTACTGAGAATAAGAAGACTAAAAAGTGGGGCGGACTCTGGGAGGGAAACAGACAAGTTCAGTTCTCTGCTGGTTCCACTGAGACCTGCAGCCTTCCTGGGCACTGTGCCCAGTATGCAGATGCACACGTGAGGCAGGAGTTCAGGGAAGGTTGCTGACAGAAACAAGCATCTCACAGTTATCAACACACAGATCAGATTTAAAGTCACCTGGATGACACCACCAGGGCACTGAGTGTATGGAGAGAATTCATTCCAAAGGGTGAGAAGTAAAGAATTTAAACATCAGAATTTGGAGACAGACATGTGACCAGCAGGAGATACCAAGAAGGAGCAGCCTGTGAGTTCAGAGAAAAAAGTAGGAAATTGGGTCTCAGACACCAAGGGTGGAAAACATTTCAAAGGGAAGAGATTGATGGCTGCTGATAAGTAAAATCAGAGAAGTCAGAGGCAATGAGGATGAACGCTTAAATTTATAACATGAGGTCACTGGCGATCTCAAAAAGAGCAGTGGCAGTGGAATGGTGAGGGTGGTAATGTGGTTCCCATGGTTTAAGAGAGAGGAGGGGAAAGGGCCTGGGGGGGCAGTGAGCATGGACATGGGGAGAGCTCTTGAAAGGGGAGCAGAGAAACACAACAGGCTTTGGATGGGGAAATGAGTCAAGAGATTTCTTTTAGAAGAGAGAAATGGGGGTGCCTAGGTGACTCTGTTGGTTAAGCATCTGACTCTTGCTTTTGGCTCAGGTCATGATCTGGGGTTCATGAGTTTGAGCCCCGCATCAGGCTCCCTGCTGAGAGCATGGAGCCTGCTTGGGATTCTCCCTCTCCTTTCTCTCTGCCTGTCCTATGGGCACAGGTGCTCGCTCTCTCTCTCTCTCTCTCGCTCTCGCTCTCTCTCTCTTCAAAATAAATACATAAACTTTAAAAAATAAAGAAGAGAGAAAGAACATGTTGATATGCAGATGGGAATAATCAAACAGAAAGAGAAAATCTGATCACTGAGGGCAGAAGCAGGGAGCTCCTGGAGCAATGCCCTTGAGTAGCTGAGGGAGAAAGGGCTTGGTGCACAAGGGTGGAGCTGGGCCGGCACATCTACAGTAACAGGAAGAGAGGTTAGAGTCAGGGAGATGGATGCTGCTGGATGGAGAGCCACCATGGTCATCTACACTTGCTGCTCAGCCAGTTGCTGTCACAGCAGGGGCTACATACCCCCTGGGCAGTGGTCAGCCATCTCCACGATTTTGGCAGGGTTTGAGTAAGCCATCCTCACAGGACACCCTCTCTGCAGACATGCAGACGCTTTCCAGTATGACCAACTCACCATTTCCAGCTTGTAGTCTGCAGAACACTGTTAGTGTCCTGCGTAAGTGCTCAGCAGAAGTGGGAGACCAGAGAGATCCATGTGACATGGATCCTCCAACCCTCTGAGGCCCAGAGCTTCGGGCCCAGTGCCATGCAAACAGGAGAAGCACAGATAGCAGAGAAACTCCACTTGTGGCTCAGGCCATTTGGGGAGGGGGGCGTGCACAGTGAGGCCAGGGTGCTGATCCCCCACCCTATCCCTGCACAGCCTCCAGGTAGGCACCTCCATCCATGACTCCCTTTTGCAGGCCGTCCTTGTTGTCTGAAGTCAAGAGCAATTCCACAATACCCCGGTCTTCCAAGGCCTATGGGGGGGAAGAAGACAAGTCAATATTCACTCCTCAGAGCTCCTGCCATGTCACACAGCTGGGAAGGTGGCAGCCAGAAAAGAAAGAGGGAGAGATTCAAAATAAAGCATTTACCTCTCCACAGAAAATGGACAGAAACCCTCCTGTCTGTGCCCACCATGTTCAACAAAGCTCCTATCAGCTGAAGTCCAGCTGAGGCAGGGGTAGGGCTATCAGACTCTGACATCTCTTGGCTGCCCCAGATCTGGCAAGGTGTCAGGTCTGGCTGGTGCTCTGTTCCCATCTAGGAACAGAGGGCAGCTCGGCAGGGCCAGATGCTATGCTGTCACCTAGCAGCTGACTACAGGGCTCTACAAGTGGGTCAGGCCTTCCTGATACCAGAAGCAAGCAGCCCATCACTTCCTCACACTGGGCCAGGGTGGGCTCTGTTCAACCGCCATGCCCCAGCCACATGCCTATGACATGCTGCACATGCCCAGTAGAACAGGAGGCACTCCTTGCAGGTTGTAAATCAAATGAAGAACTGGAAGGAACACACACTGTGTTGAGATGCAATAACCATTTTACCACTCCAAATAACTGCTAACACTTATGGACCACTTACAGTCACGCCAGGCCTTCTGCTAATTACTTTACATAGACTAGCCTATTCAATCCTCACATTTAATAACTGTACAGATGAAGAGTCTCAGAGAGGTTGGATAAAGTGTTAAGGGATACAGAGCAAGTGAGCCAGTATGGACTTGAATCTAGAGTCTGCCCACCTTGAAAGGCTCTGCTTTAGGCCTATGGGCTTTTTTGGATTAGAAACCCCAGCAAGGGGAACTTTCCTATAATTTAACATGCAGATATTTTTATAAGATTGCTTATTTCAACCAAATTCTTTGGGAAACAGGTGAGGCAGAGAGATAATCCCTGGGGTGCATAATGTTCATATCTAAACCTGATGCAAGTAAGGAAAGAGCAGAGTGGGCCCTAATTCTCAGGGACAACAGAAGCCACAGAAGTTCAATCCATTAGGTAAGATAAGATGTTTATTAAAAGCCCTGGACCTACCACCTCACAACTCTCTAGCCAGTCATTTGCTGATATGTAACAGGCTTTGCCTTTGTTTGTACCTTATACATATAGCATCATGTGGGTTGAGAGGGTGTAACCATCTTTTACAGCTGTACTAGTTGCACTTGACTTTTCATGGCCATCAATCTATTGACTGCACACTGTAAGGGGTAATTACTATTACTGTTTCCTGACGACCAGTGATCTGCCAAGCAGAGTTCAGGGTCTTGTGTCTATAATCTCATTTCATTCCCAGAACAGCCTTAGAGAAAGCATTCTTGTCTCCATTGAACACATGATGAGGCTAAGGCTCAGAAAGGTGAGGTGACTTACCCAAGGTCATCCTATGCTGATGGTGTCCACATGTCCATTACACCCAGAAGAAGCTGCATGGCAGCTCAGGAGGGGTGCTGGGAGCTCTTGCTTGAGAGCAAGAGCTCAGGATGACAGGGGTGTGTGCTGCAGCTTCTTTTTGTCCATCTGTCTCACATATGGTACCTTCCCCAGACACCAGGGAGGTGTTGACTGAGCAGGAGAAGCCCCTTAACAACTGAATTCTCCTCTCCACACCATCAGCAGAGCTCTTCTCTGCAGCTCAGGACTCAGTAAACACCTGCTGGAGAAGCTCCAGCATTCAAGAGATAGTCCAAGGGAAAGAGTTATAATGCAAGAAGCTCTCCTGTCCTGCACCCTCGTTGGGATCTTTCTAGCTAATTCAAAGGCAAAGAGGAAGCTGGAGGTGTGGTCTAATCAAGTCTGCAGTTGGGTTTGATTATCAGGGTGGAACTCTCCCCTTCCTGATTTTGGGAATGCCTCTTTCTGGAGACAGCCTTGCTCCCTACATGGGGCTTTCTGCAAGAGACAAAAAGGGAGCAAGAGTAGATGAAATCCTATAAGCAGGAGTGCTTGAGCTCATTCTACCTACATGCAGGGACTGAAGTAATTTCCAGACAGAAAATGAATCTGCCTATGACAGTAGAAGAGATGCTGACATCATGGGCCAAAGCTAAAGCAGCTTTAATTAGGTGGATTCCCTGAGGCCACTTAACATTTCCTCAATGTTTCCTCTATAACCACTGCCAATGATCTATCAAAGTCTTATTTATTGACTACTTACTGAGAACAGTCCTAGAACAATCCTGAGCCAAGTGATCTCACACACGCGCACAATTCAGAGAGGCAAATTCTCTCATTATCCCCACTTCAAAGAATAGAAAATGGAGGTTTAGAAAAATAAAGGCCTTTTCTCAAGGTCTCAGCTACTAAGTAACAGAAACCAGATAGGCTTGTTCTTTAAAGTGTCATCTAGCCCAGCCCTTCTCTGATCTCCCATACATTAAATCAATGGTTCTCAAACTCACACACACATTGGAATCAGATGTCTGAGGACCACCCCAGAGATTCTTATTTAATTGATATGCTATATGGTTTGGGCATAGGGATTTTTAAAGTGAATGTACAGACGAAGCTGGGAACCCTTGCTTTAGATGCTGGAATGAGGGCAGCCTTTACAGGGAGACTTCACTAATCCTCACACTCAATTAAGTCCATCCCTTTATTCTCAGCCACTGCAACCCCATGTGTGTACTGCAACCCCCAATTAGACTCAATAAAAAGTAAATAAGTGATGACCTCACTGAAATAAAAGTATGGTGAAAGGATTCACTAATAAATGTGGTATTAATATGAGAAAAGTACTAGACCAACATGTCACATCACAGCCCATACTACATTCCAGAGGAAGGAATATGAAGAAATAAAGATCTGATATTTACCTTCTTGATGTAAGGCATATAGGCGGGGTCTCTGTTATAGGAACCATATTCATTCTCCACCTGCACAGCAATGATGGGGCCTCCATGCTTGTACTGGAGAAAGAGATAAACAATCAGAAGCTGAATTTGTAGTGGAAGCTGTACTATCTAATTTCATCATACTTCTCACCCATTAGCAGCAAAATATTCCATTTGGAAGCAAAAGTCTCAAAAGATTTGATTATATAATTGAGAGTGATGTCAGTAAGACACAGAGAAAGTAGGGAGTTCCAGGCCCTGGTTCCCTATGGAAACATCAAACAATTAAAGACTAAATAAAATAACTTTATTTTATTAACTGGTCTGGAAACTAGTTAAATGTTTAAGCAAATGAAGAAAAACACATGTTTAAAATGATAGGAAATATCTTGGTGTTTTTGCTCATCCTTGCCCAACCTCCTCCCTGGCACAGTGTGGCATAATCCCAAAAGATCAATCTAATTCCCAGTTCCTTCCCTCAGGACAAAAGGAGCAAAATGGAACTTGTTTGTAGCCCACTTGTCTGTGGGCTGCCCAGTAGACTAGTTTCTGTCTCATCTGATTTGGAGCTCAGACAGCAAATGTTGGCATAGTTTGGACCTCAGGCTAAAAGCAACACAAGGCAGTGGAGGTCACAGCATGTGAAAATTTCAGAGGTTCTACAGACTCATATATGCCTGTGCAAGGGATTATAGGCAGAGGAATATGATAGAACATCTAAGGCCACAAAGGAAGGTGGGGTGAGACTCTTTGGAAAATTAAGACATGTAAAAGCAGCCAGGGAAAATTGGAGGCAGGGGTTTGGGGAAAGGCACACACACACAGGCCAGACTAGACACATACCCAGGAAACATCTGAGAAGATCTGGAGCCATAACCCTATGCTTATCTTAATGTGTAGGAGCCCACCAAATAGTGAAGATGTTCCCCACAAGTCTGCAAAGACTATGAGAGGTGACTGTTGTTTCAAATGTCCAATTTTCAACAACAACAAAAACACAAGGCAAAGAAACAGGATAATACAGCTCATTCAAAGGAATAAAGTAAATCTCTAAAGAAATGCACACACTTAATAGACAAAGATTTTAAAACAATCGCCATAAATATGCTCAATGAGCTAAGGAAAAACATGGACAAAGAGATCAGGAAAATGCTATATCAGCAAAGTGAGAATATCAATACAGATAGAGAAACTATAAAATATAAGAAACAAGATTTCTGGAGCTGAAAAATATATCTGACTAGAAAAAATTCACCATAGAAGTTCAACAGCAGATTCAAACAGGAAGAAGAAAGAATGGGCTAACTTGAAAACAAGTCATTTGAAATTATTCAGTCTACAGAACAAAAAGAGAGAATGAAGAAAAGGGAACAAAACCTGAGGGGCTTATGCAACATCAGTAAGCAGACAAAAATACTCATTGTGGAAATTCCAAAAAGAAGAAAGAAAAGGGGCAGAGAGATTATTTGAAAAATTAATGGCTGGAAACCTCTCAAATTTGAGAGGACATGGGTATACAAATCCAAGAAGCTTCGGTGAACTCCAAGTAGCATTAACCAAGAGACAACACTAAGGCACATTACAATCAAACCATCAAAGCCAAAGACAAAAAGAGATTCTTGAAAGGAGCAAGAGAAAAGCAACTTGAAACATACAAAGGATCCCCAATAAGACTATCAGTGGATATCTCACCAGAAATCTGGCAGGGCAGTGACAGAAGGATGATATATTCAAAGTGCTGAAGGGGAAAAAAAACTATCAACTGAGAATTCTGTATCCAGCAAAACTGTCCTTAAACAATGAGGAAGAAGTTAAGACATACTCATACAAGTAAAAGTTGAGGGAATCTGATACCACTAGACTTGAGTTATGAGAAATGCTACACAGAGTCCCTCAAATTGAAATGAAAAGATGCCACACAGTGACTTGAAGCCCCTTGAAAATATAAGGTTCTCCTGTAAAGGTAAATATATTTTAAAAATGTAAAAACCAGTATTATTCTAATTTTAGTTTATAAATCTACTTCTTATTTTTTAACAGGATTTAAAAGACAAATGCATGAAAATAATTATTAATCTAGATTAATGAGTACACAATATATAAATATGTGACTTGTGACATCAATAACATACAGCAAGGTTGAGCTGTAAAGGAGTAGTTGTGATTGTATGTGTGATTAAAGTTTAGTTGACATCAATATAAAATAGAACATCATATCTTTAGGACAGTATTTGTAATCTTCATGGTAACCACAATGAAAATATCTATAGAATATACACAAAAATGAATGAAAAAGGAATCAAAACTTGTCACTATGAAAAATCAACTAAATACAAAGGAAGGTAGTAATAGAGGAAATAAGGGAGAAAAAAAGCTACAAAACATACAGAAAACAAATAACAAAATGGCCAAAATAAATGCTTCCCTAATAGTAACTTCCTTAAATGTAAATGTTTAAACTCCCCAATAAAAAGACATAGATTTGGACTTGAACAACACTATAGACCAAATGTACCATATCCACATATATAAACACTCCATCCAATGACACAATACACATTTTTCTCATGTACACATGGAACATTCTTCTCCAGGAGAGATCATATTTTAGGCCACAACAGAAGCTTTAATACTTTTAAAAGATTGAAACCATTCAAAGCATATTTTCCAATCACAGTAGAATGAAACTAGAAACCAACAGCAGAAAGAACACTGAAAAATTCAAATTTCAAATTCCATGAATATGTGGAAATTAAACAACACACTCTTAAAAAACAACCAGTAACCCAAAGAAGAAATAATGGGAAAATCAGGATATATCTTGAGTCGAATGAAAATAAAAATTCAACATAAAGTTATGGGATGAAGTCAACATCTAACTTTTCACCTTAATGAACTAGGAAAGAGAAGCTAAACTTAAAGGTTTAAGGAGGAAGGAAATAACAAAGGTTAGAACAGAGATAAAAAGAGATTTAAAAATAGAGAAAAATAAAAAAACCCAAGAGTTAGTTCTTTGAAAAGATTAACAAAATTGGCAAAGCTTTAGTGAGATTAACTAGCATAGCCACATTATTCACAATAGACAAAAGTAACCTAGGTGTCCACTGATGAATGAATGGATGAGCAAAATGTGGTCCAGAGATACAATAGATTATTATTAGGTCTTAAAAAGTAAGGAAATTCTGACACCTACTACAACACAAATGAATGTTGAAGACATTATGACAAATGAAAGAAGCCAGACATAACAGGACAAGTATTACAGGATTCTACTTATATGAGGTACCTACAGTGGTCAATTTCATAGAAACAGAAAGTAGAATGGTGGTTGGCAGGGGTTATGGAGAGGGGAGATAGGAAGTTAATATTTAATGGATGCAGAGTTTCAGTTTGGGAAGCTGAAAAAGTTCAGGAAATGGATGGTGGTAATGTTTGCACAACAATGTGAATGTACTTAATACCAGTGAACTTAAAACCACTTAAAAATGGTTAGAATGGTAATTTTTATGTTAGGTAAAATTTATATTATGACAAAATTACCATAATAAAAATAAAATAATTATGTTATACTCAGAAAATGCTTTTTTAAAGAAAGGTCTAGTACATCATTTCCATATTTAAGAATGCTTCTAAGCCATACTCCTGGCATGACCTTCCCTAAAACCACCTTCCCTAAAACCTCTACCTCCACCAATCTACTACAACCTGCTGAATCATCTCAGTAATTCCATCTTCCTTATAAAAATGTAGGCCAAAAACTTCCTGGCTTGTTGCTTCTTTCATTACTAGGGCTTCCAGATTTAAGAAATAAAAATACAAGATAGCCAGTTATACGTGAATATATAATGAATAAGTTTTTATATAAATTATGAATATTTTTAATGTAAGTATGTCCCATGTAACATTTAGGATATATTTATACTAAAACATATTCCTTGTTTATCTGAAGTTCAAATTTAACTTAGTACCCAGTGTTTTATTTGTCTACCCTACAGATGATCAAGTAGTTCCTTTGATCTATGTGTGCTGTGAACATTACAAACCATTGACTGAAGAGCAATTTTTATTGATGTACTAATTTTTTATTGTACTAATTTCTCAGCATGACTCTTATTTTTACATAAACTATTAATTATTCCCATTCCTGCTTTTTTATTGCTTCCAAATATTACATGCAATAAGATAATTTCTTCCCAAAATTGATTTTTATCACTTATTGAATGAAATATGCACCATACAGCACCTTTTTGATAGCAGAAAGATGTACCTTGAAAAGTCATCAATTGTAATTTTATAACTACAAAAAGTCCCGTGTATTACAGGTAAGGGCCTATCCATTTATGCTCTTTTTCACAAAGAACTGAGCCACTATTGGGATGCCAATCAGTGGGTTTTTCAGAATAAGACATCACATCGGACATTGTGTGGAATAATGTAAGCCCTTGTGCCTATCTCTTCAGCACTGAACCACCTAAAACAATATTGAAATACATCTTTTAAAAGACAACTATTGCAAACCCCTCCAATTATAGATCTCAGGCAGTGGGGAGGAATGTGTTCTGTATTGAAAGGAACTGGGAGCCCTTTGTCTGAGAGCTAACCTAGGACTGTTTACTTCCAGTAGGAAAATAGCTGAACTTCCAAGAAGAGTCTCCTTGCTTTTACCTGGAGTGGCACCACCCTGGACATCAGGTGATCAAAATAAAGGTCCACTGCTTCGGTGAAGCCCTTGTAAGTTGTTCTCAGCCTCATGCCAGAGTCTTGGAGTAACCAGCTTGAATAAAAGGGGGGTGGGAATTAGTTGCACTGTTTATGAGTTTCTCTTGGCAGGAGATGGTGGGGAGAAAAGCAGTGGCTTCAGAGTGCTGGGGGTAAGCAAGACAATTCCCACCCCACCACCTCCACTCAGCCAGGAAGGCAGGAGATTGTGCAAACAGATTCAGGGGCAAACACTGCCAGAACTCAAGACCTGCACTCTGCACTTGTTTCCCTACCAAAAGACACCAGCACTGCTAGGGATTTTATTTCGAGCTTTATGGCTATGGTCTGGCTGCCAGTCAGAGTGAGAAAATCTTCTCACTGAATTCAAGGCCCAGCATGGAAGCATTTACTCTAAAATCTCATTACAAAGGGGTAAAGCCAAAAGGGTTAAAGAATCACTGGGACCAGATGCAACTTTCTGGTGTCTCCCAGAAAACTAAGCCTGACATGGAGGTCATGAGAGGCTAATCCACTTCTCATTCCTGTCCATCCATCCATCTGCTGCTCTCCACGCTGACCCTGTGACTCATTAACATCAGCCTCCACAGCTCTTCAGAGCTTAGTTCAGAGGAGGAGCTGCAGAGCGAGATTAGTTCTTCCCACAGCCTGTCCCTTGTGATCACATTTCCCAGGTGAACCCAGATCATTTGTTCCAGAGTTAGGAACTCTTCCTTCTCACTTGAAATTCTAAGTAAAACACTTATATTTTCTTAAAAAGGGTCTAATGCTTCACATCCTAAGTTGGAAGTCCTGAACAAGGTCAGAAAATTATCAATTGATGTTAGGTAAAAATGCAGGAGGAGAGAGCAGCTTCCTTTAGACTGACACCTCTACCCTCCCTCTCACCTAAACCAGGTCTAGCTTCTCATCACCACTGGGTCTTTGCCTGTTTGGGCCTCCCTGGGGTGTGCCCACATGCCCATCCTCGATGCCAGGACCTGAGTGGACAATGCTGCCCAGGAGAAGGACTGAGTGCTGGAGCTCCTGCTGTTCTGAGCTAACACTTAAATCCTGTCCTCCTGGCAGCTCTGGCTGGGCCTGAGGACATCACTGACACACAGATTTCTAATCCCTAGGTGCAGGGGGAGGGCACTCTGGCTGTGTGCATGGCCTTGTCAAGGGCACTCTTGCCAAGCTGAACAGCACAGAGACAGAGAAGTCATCCTGGAGAGCAAAGGAGATGGAGACAGAGCCTGCCTGGGATCCCTAGGGAAGGGCTGGGTGGAACTGGAGAAAAGAGAGAAAACAAAGCCTGGGCTAGTAGCTGTGTTACAGGGAGAGGCCATTCCCAAAGGAGACCACGAGGCAAACAGGACCAGCCTTCTTCCCTCTTGGGGTGGCATGGTATAGGAGAGAGTTGATCTAACCATCTGGAACACTGTGAGGATGGGAGAGATTACCCCCTATTAACAAGGAAGTCTTTTTGCTGAAAATTAATCACAATGATGAGGACAAGGAATGAATGTGGTACCAGGTGATTACTGCCCAGATTTCTACTCCAGCCACAGAGCACTCTACTGACCTCAGTGGAGACTACACATTCTAACATAACTCATTAAAGCCTTAAATTTTAAGATAAAACATAAAAACAATAATTTGTTTCTCTAATACTTTATTAAGATAAAGTAACATCATTTAAAATGGCTCCCTTTAGGTCCCACTTATTCTGAATGGTGTTTCAGTACAGAATGAAAAATATACTTCAATAGCAAAATTAAACCTACCTTTGTGATTAGCATTTTGCACAAGCACACAGGACAGCTCAAGCCACAGCCCCTCACAGCCCCGCTCACCTGGGCAAGCCCCCGAGGTCGATCTCACTGCAGATGTAGGGGCCTGGACGCAGAATCACCCACAACCCGATCTCTTCAGCCATCAGCACAAAGGCCCTAGGGAGGTCAGTGTTAGCAGCTCTCAAGACATCAGGGGGGGAGGGTGGGGATGAGCCTGGCACACATCACAAGGTGGTGGATCTACCTGGCTCCTCCCCTCCCTGCTTTCAGACGCCCTGTGAGCTGGGTTCTCCCCTGCCCCCAGCCCAGTACCTTCTGCATAGTTCTACTGGGGGCATGAGGACCAAGGACATCAGACAAGATACGGTGTGTGTGGGGGGGTGGGGGGTGGAGGGTGTTCCTAACAGTGAACCTGACCCCAACAGTCTTGCTACCCTACATGGGTAAGCTCTGTCCCAGCCCAGGTGCTGGACCACACTACAGAACAGGGCAGACACTGGAGATTGATACCTCTGAGCTGCAATGAAAAGGTCTGAGCTCAGAGGAGGCAAACTCAGACCCTGAGAGTAACAGGTTCATGTCTGGAGAGCATTTGGGTCCTGAGAACAAGGCTCCAGACCCCAGGCTGTCTCTGGTTCTCAATGCAGAATGGAGATGGCCCTTTGATTCCTGACCAACCCAAGGGGCCACCTCTTTGCCTCCCAGCCTTAGGCCATGCCACAGAAGCAGTGACAGCACTTACTCCAGGTCCAGGTTCCCAGAGAAGTCAAATTTGCCTCTTTCTGGCTCGTGGAGATTCCATGGAACATAGCTATAATAGAAGATAATTACAGGAATGAGCTTTTCATTTATTCCACTTCATCTTCCAGATTACCTTCTTTATCCCTAAAACCCATTATGATGGTCGAAGATGTATTTCTTAGGCACATTGTTTTAATGGTATCAGGACTGGAACCAAGAGCTAACTGAGGAGATCTAGGGACCTTAGAGTATCCAGGGCCAGTCCCTGGGTGGCTAACAACTCATCTCCTTAGGAGAAGGGAGAGAAGGCCAGTAAGATTTGGGTGAAGCATAAGATGTGATCACAGGTCAGCTTGAGCATGCACTCCCCCACGTTCCTCCTTCCCTCCCCATGTCTCCTGTTCTCTCTTTATCAGCTGGTGGAGAAAAGGTAACTTTCTAAGAGAGTAAGTTAGAAGTAAGGTAAGAGGAAACCTCTGATCAGTCCTGTTTTTACTGAAGCAACCAGAATTTCAAATAACTCTTTCCTTATCTTCTAAAGAGAAGATAAGGAAATAAAGTAAGTTCTTCAAGGGGCCCAACTCAAGGGATATATGATAGTAACACAGCTGCTCCTCTCCTGGACTCCCACCCACCCCTGACTTCCAGTGGAGCCCCTGGAATTGAGGGAAGTGAGACTCAGGAGCTCCACATTTAAGGAAATACACATTACTCAGATTTTATAATGCAAGATGCTTAGCCTACAATATTCCCACCAGCTTCAGGAGTCCTGTGATGTGTGAATGTACCCTCAGGATCAGAACTTACATACACAAATAAATGGATCCTTTTAAGTAATCCTTCTGGAAAATTATATACATGTGTTTCAACTGTGCTGTTATAGCCCAGAACATTCCTGTAATTCTTTTTAGAAATTATCTTCAGAGCTGCTTCAACAAACCACCCAAGAAAATCCACATCCTTGATCTGTAATCACATATGTTTTCCTGAAAATAGAATAGTCCAGCCTGATATAACCCACTTTATTTCATAGACTTGGATCCAACTATCTTTTGGCAGTTTTGAAAAATAAATCCACAGAATGATAAGATTCTTCACAACTGAGCATATTTTTAACTGATTCACATATTCAACATTGTACTGAGTGCCTATCATGTGCCTGTCCTTGTGGTCAGTGCTAGACTGGAAGCCATAGTGCTCTGAAGATAATTCTAAACAGGAATGCTGAAAGGTGATGAGAACTTCCTTAGGAAGCTATTTTGAAAAAGATCACACTCATTTGCTAAATAAATTGGGGGGTGGAGTGCTTGTTTAAAATATATATATATATATATATATATATATATATATATATATATATGATAATTTAATCACCTCCACCCCTACACTCCCCTCCTTCACTATATTCCTTCGTGTATACACCATTGTTCTTTCTATGCCTCTAAACCTTACGTCCATCCTGTCTCCTCATCTGCACTAGTGGGGAGTGCTGTGCAGATGAGGAAAAGGAAGGTGTCATAGCTGGCAAACCTAAGCAGGAGTGTGGATGACCTGATCCTCCTATATTTTTCCTCACAAAGCTTAGCACAAAGATTCTCTTCAGGGACTGCTCAGGTCCAGGATCTGGCAGTGCTCCCCCATCCTGACACGATGGAGACCTACAGGCTAGGCTGCCTAGAAGAAGCCCAGGACACAGATGCCACAGATGCCAAAGCTCTGGGGGGGGGGCGGCCGGGGGTGGGGGCAGCACTCACGTGGTGAGGGTATTCAAGCCACAGGCTTTCATCTTCAGCAAGCGGTCCCTCCAGTATTCCTTGGGCACCCGGAAATAGTGCACAGAGCCCCCAAAGATCCAGAAGGTGGAGTCCTCCAGCATGAAGTGTTGGCCGTTGGCCTGCAGCCCTGATTGCCGGTGTCTCAGCCATGCAGGGACCAGATTATACCAGTCCAACCTGCAAAGAGAAAAGGCAGCTGGCAAGGCTGGCTTATCTTCAGCAATGAGCAGCACAGAGTGTTAGGAGACAGGGTTCTTCTCCACAGGCCTGCTTCTGAGGCCTTCAGAAAAGGCTCCCCACCCTCCGACTTAGCCAAACTTTGAAAGGCATCTTTCTTCAGCACACTCATATGCACCCCACTGTAGGGGAAGAGCAAGCTGAGACTATAGTCAGGAACAAGACAAACACAATGGTCAACATGGAGACTCTGCTATGGGGACAGAAGGCGAGGTGGGGGCACACGGCACGGAATGGATATTCTCAGGGGGCGCGGGGTGCCCAGGGCAGGTGTGGCACGCAGGTTCCTACAATGGCCAGCTCTTCTAGGCCATTTGACTAAACATCAAAGGAGCAGCTACTTCAAATAGTACCTCTGAGCCACATTGTGGTCACAGCTGCCCGGCTTGAGGTGCAAATACCTGGAAGGAGGTATCTGGGTTAGAAACAGCATTTATTCATTGACCAAATTTCCAAGTCTTAATTATTATCTAAAGATCAAGTTGAAGTGATGATCTAGCACAACAGAGAGCCCCACCTGGGAGGGCTGTTGGAAAGTGTTAGTCCCTGGAAAAGCAACTCGACCAAGCGGAGCCCACTCAAATTGATCCCCATGACTAGAATTCCCTCCCTCTCTTTTCTCCCCAGTCTCCAAAGACCATGAGAGAAATCCAGCAAGAGACGCTGGAGGAGCCAGGACATTCAAGAGAGTTGGAGAGAAAGAACCTCAGCTAGGCCAAGATGGCAGAGAAGTAGGGGGACCCATTCTTCCTGCCACTCTCAAACAAAGAAGTGCAGAAGCCAAAGGACTTTGAACACCAGAGCCTGGGAGGAAAAGAGACTGAATCTACTAGGAAGAAAATGGGGAAGCTGGAAAGAAGATAGGTGGGTAACTGCAAACTGGGGGAGATAAAAAACAGCCACATGGGCACGGAGCGGAGGCACTCCCTTCAACGGAGAGACAAAGGGAAAAGAAAGAGCAGCTAGGGAAGTGCAGGACCGTATCTGGACAGGAGAAAGTCCAGGGATTGAGACAGAGAGGGATCCGATCTCTAACTGCAGGGCTTTCTTTGGACTGGAGCTGGCTCCCTGTTGGTGCACCTGGAGAGGAGGGGAGCCTGGGTGTGGTGGTAGGTCAGGGGCTCAGTCCTCAGTTGGAGGAAGTGGTTCCCTCCCTGGAGGGCTATGTGATAGTACAGAATCTGCCTGTGTCTGCCACTCCTGGGCACAGTGGCTGGGCCAAGGGTGCAGTCTGCAGGAGGAAAAGGCTGCCATCTCTCTGGAGTGCTGTGGGAAAAGACAAAGCCTGCCTGTGTCTGCCACCCCGGGGGCTCGTGGCGAAGGTGGTGGCTCTTGGTCCCCAGTAGGAGAAGGCTGTCCTCCCTGAAGTGCAGGGGCACAGACAAAGCCAGCCAGGACCACATATCCGTCACACTGAGAGGCGCTTCCCCAATGCCAGAGTGCACAGAGCGGGACTTTGAATCCTAGTCAAGCATAGGGTCACGGGAGTTGGTGGAGCGAGAAGGACCTCCCCACCTGTGCCCTCGGCACAATAAGGATGACTCAAACAGAGTCCATCGGGTCCAGCTCCGTGGAGAAGAGACTGGGGGATCACCATTCCACACACCACCACCACCAAGGTGGGGCCTCAGGGATCAGTACTGGGGCCCAGAGTGGAGGTGGGTCCAGATTATGCCAAACCATGCCCCTTTGTGCTGGGTAACTGCGTATCCACCACAGCAGCACAGACCCTGCAGACAACTACTCCCGACAAGCGACGCAGCATTGCCTGGATTAACTCTAGGTCAATTCTGGATATATAGATATATTCTCCATCCCCCCCCCCCATTTCTCCTCCTTATCTCTTCCATGCCCTAGGCTGGTTACTCTGGTTATTGCCTGTCTAAACAGACATATTTAATCCATTGTCTTGATACATGTTCTACACCTCCTTATTTACACTCCTTTCTCTCTCTCTGGAATAATCAAGCAATATCGTTTCTCTGTCTGAGTAACTTTATCTGTTTCCTTTTCCCTGCCTCCTTCTTTATTTTCCTTTCTCTCCATCTGGATTAAGCCTTTTACCTCTCTGTCTAATCAATGTTTATCTTTTCTCCCCCCCCCCCCGCCCCCACGCTCCCCACTCCTCCTGTCATTTCTCTCCTTGTATGTTCTCTTCCATTAGCACTGCCTCTGCCCTCTTCTTTACTTTAGTCAGTGTTTTGGGGTTTTTTTTGTTTTTAGTCTTTAGGTTTTTGTTTTTGTTTGTTTGTGTTATTTGTTTGTGTGTTTGTGTGTTTTTGTCTCCTGTTTGTCTATTTGTTTTCCTTTACAGGGCTACTCCAAGGAACAAATCAAAGCACACCTGGAGGAGGATCCAAAATATCACTAAGAGTAGGGTAATAAAAAAACCAAACACAACAGAGAGCAAGTAACCATCTCTGAAAAAACACCTCCTGAAGGGCCAGGCCCTGGACACTGTATAACCCTCCTTTCATATAGCAGTGCTTGCAGGTGCAGAGCACACAACAAGCATTTAAAATGCATAAGGGACGAAAAACTAGCCAAAATGACAAAACAGAATAATTCTCCTCAAATGAAATTCCAAGACGTGGCAACAGCTAACAAATTGATCAAAACCGATTTAAGGAGTATAACTGAACAAGAATTTAGAATAATAGTCATAAAATTAATTCCTGGTCTTGAAAAAAACAGAGGACAGCAGAGAATCTATTGCTGCAGAGATCAAGGGACTAAAAAATAGTGATGATGAATTAAAAATGCTACAAATGAGGAGGAAAATAAAATGGAGGCAGCCACAGTGCGGATTGAAGAGGCAGAGGGGAGAATAGGTGAATTAGAAGACGAAATTTTGGAAAAACAGCAACCTGAGAAAAAGAGAGACAAAAAAATCCAGGAGTATGAGGGGAGAATTAGAGACTAAGTGATGCAATCAAATAGAACAATATCCATATCATGGGAATTCCAGAAGAAGAAGAAGAGAGAAAAATGGGCTAAAGGTGTACTTGAACAAATCATACCTGAGAACTTCCCCAATCTGGGGAAGGAAACAGGCATTGAAATCCAAGAGGCACAGAGAACTCCCTTCAGACGTAACTTGAATCGATCTTCTGCATGATATATCATAGTAAAACCGGCAAAATACAAGGATAAAGAGAGAATTCTGAAAGCAGCTATGGATAAATGGGCCTCAATATACAATGGTAGACACATAAGAGTAGTAGCAGACCAATCTACTGAAACTTGGCAGGCCAGAAAGGAATGGCAGGAAAACTTCAATGTGATGAACGGAAAAAATATGCAGCCAATAATCCTTTACCCAGAAAGTCTGTGATTCAGAATACAAGGAGAGATAAAGGTTTTCGCAAACAAACAAAAACTGAAGGAATTCATCACCACTAAACCAGCCCTACAAGAGATCCTAAGGGGGATTCTGAGTGAAATGTTGCAAGGACCACAAAGTACCAGAGACACCACTACAAGCATGAAACCTACAGACATCACAATGACTCTAAACCCGTATCTTTCAGTAATAAAACTGAATGTAAATGGACTAAATGCTCCAACCAAAAGACATAGGGTATGAGAATGGATTAAAAAAAAAAACAAAAACAAAAAACAAGACCCCTCTATTTGCTGTCTACAGGAGACTCATTTTAGACCTGAGGACACCTTCAGATTGAAAGTGAGGGGACGGAGACCTATCTATCATGCTACTGGAAGTCAAAAGAAAGCTGGAGTAAACATACTTGTATCAGACAAATTAGACTTTAAATTAAAAGCTGTAACAACATATGAAGAAGGGCATTATTTAATAATTACAGGGTCTATCCATCAGGAAGAGCTAACTATTATATATGTCTATGCACAGAATACGGGAGCCCCCAAATATATAAAACAATCACAAACATAAGCAACCTTATTGATAAGAATGTGGTAATTGCAAGACACTTTAATACTCCACTTGTATCAATGGATAGATCATCTAGACAGAGAATCAATAAACAAACAAGGACCCTGAATGATACATTGGATCAGATGGACTTGACAGATATATTTAGAACTCTGCATCCCAAAGCAACAGAATATACTTTCTTCTCGAGTGCACATGGAACATATCAAAGATAGATCACATACTGGGTCACAAAACAGCCCTTAATAAGTATAAACAAATCGAGACCATACCATGCACACTTTGAGACCACAATGCTATGAAACTTGAAATCAACCACAGGAAAAAGTCTGGAAAACCTCCAAATGCATGGAGGTTAAAAAACATCCTACTGAAGAATGAATGTGTGAATCAGGTAATTAGAGAAATTAGAAAATATATGGAAATAAATGAAAATGAAAATGAAAATACAACAATCCAAATATTTTGGGATGCAGCGAAGGCAGTCCTGAGAGGAAAATACATTGTAATCCAGGCCTATCTCAAGAAATAAGAAAAATCCCCAATACAAAATCTAACAGCACACCAAAAGTAACTAGAAACAGAACAGCAAATACACCCCAAACCCAGCAGAAGAAGAGAAATAATAAAGATCATAGCAGAAATAAATAATATAGAACCTGAAAAAACAGTAGGCAGATCAATGAAACCAAGAGTTGGTTTTTGAGAAAATAAACAAAATTGATAAACCTCTAGCTAGGCTTCTCAAAAAGAAAAGGGAGAGAACCCAAATAGATAAAATCATGAATAAAAATGGAATTATTACAACCAATCCCTCAGAAATACAAGCAATTATCAGGGAATACTAAGAAAAATTATATGCCAACAAACTGGACAACATGGAAGAAATGGAAAAATTCCTAAGCACCCACACACTTCCAAAACTCAAACAGGAAGAAATAGAAAACTTTAACAGACCCATAACCAGTGATTAAATTGAATCAGTTATCCAAAATCTCCCAACAAATAAGAGTCCAGGACCAGATGGCATCGTGGGGAATTCTACCAGACATTTAAAGCAGAGATAATACCTATCCTTCTCAAGCTGTTCCAAAAAACAGAAAGGGAAGGAAAACTTCCAGACTCATTCTCTGAAGCCAGCATTACTCTGATTCCCAAACCAGACAAAAAAAGACAACTACAGGCCAATATACCTGATGAATATGGATGCAAAATTTCTCAATAAGATACTAGCAAATCAAATTCAATGGTATATAAAAAGAATGATTCACATGACCAAGTGGGATTCATTCCTGGGCTGCAGGGCTGGTTCAATATTTGCAAATCAATCAATGTGATATATCACATTAATAAAAGAAGAGATAAGAACCATATCATCCTGTCAATCGATGCAGAAAAAGCATTTGACAAAATTCATCATCCTTTCTTAATAAAGACCCTCGAGAGAATCGGGATGGAAGGAACATACTTAAACATCATAAAAGCCATTTAAGAAAAGCCCACAGCTAGTATCATCCTCAACGGGGATACACTGAGAGCTTTCGCCCTGTGATCAAGAACACGACAGGGATGTCCACTCTCACCGCTGTTATTTAACATAGTGTTGGAAGTTCTAGCATTAGCAATCAGACAACAAAAGGAAATCAAAGGCATCAAAATTGGCAAAGATGAAGTCAAGCTTTCACTTTTTTCAGATGACATGATACTGTACATGGAAAACCTGACAGACTCCACCAAAAGTCTGCTAGAACTGATACATGACTTCAACAAAGTCACAGGATACAAAATTAATGTACAGAAATCAGTTGCATTCTTATACACTAATAATGAAGCAACAGAAAGACAAATACAGAAACTGATCCCATTCACAATTGCACCAAGAGCATAAAATACCTAGGAATAAATCTAACCAAATATGTAAATGATCTGCATGCTGAAAACTATAGAAAGCTTATGAAGGAAATTGAAGAAGATACAAAGAAATGGAAAAGCATTCCATGCTCATGGATTGGAAGAATAAATATTGTTAAAATGTCAATACTACCCAAAGCTATCTACACATTCAATGCAATCCCAATCAAAATTGCACCAGCATTCTTTTCGAAGCTAGAAAAAGCAATCCTAAAATTGTATGGAACCACAAAAGACCCCGAATAGCCAAAGTAATATTGAAGAAGAAAACCAAAGCGGGAGGCATCCCAATCCCAGACTTTATCCTCTACTACAAAGCTGTAATCATCAAGACAGCATGGTATTGGCACAAAAACAGACACACAGACCAACAGAATTGAATAGAGACTCCACAATTGGACCCACAAGTGTATGGACAACTCATCTTTGACAAAGCAGGAAAGAATATCCAATGGAAAAAAGACAGTCTCTTTAACAAATGGTGCTGGGAGAGCTGGACAGCAACATGCAGAAGAATGAAACTAGACCACTTTCTTACACATTCACAAATGTAAACTCAAAATGGATGAAGGACCTGAATGTGAAACAGGAAACAATCAAAAACGTAGAAAAGAAAGCAGGAAAAAACCTCTCTGACCTCAGCCGCAGGAATTTCTTACTTGACACATCTCCAAAGGCAAGGGAATTAAAAGCAACAATGAACTTTTGGGACCTCATGAAGATAAAAAGCTTCTGCACTGCAAAGGAAACAATCAACAAAACTAAAAGGCACCCAACGGAATGGGAAAAGATATTTGCAAATGACATATCAGATAAAAGGCTGGTATCCAAAATCTATAAAGAACTCACCAAACTCCACACCCGAAAAACAAAATAATCCAGTGAAGAAATGGGCAGAAGACATGAATAGACACTTTTCTAAAGACATCCAGATGGCCAACAGGCACATGAAGAGATGTTCAATGTCACTCCTCATCAGGGAAAGACAAA